TATCGTTCAACATGGTTAAGCGAACCTGTATATTAGACGTGAATTTTAATAACAAAATGTAAACACAGCCGGGATGTTATGCAAATTTTTCTCTCATTAAGAATAGAAACTCATTAAATATAAATTATTGATTTAGGATATCTTCTGGGGTAGGTTTGGTTTCCATGGAATAATGATTTAACAGATTTTTAAACAATATATTTAAAAAAAAAATGAAATGATTAGAATAAAGTGTAGGACAGGCCTACATATATATTTTTACTGTTCTCAACTTCGAACCCAATGTTCTTCATTTAATGATTCTTTCAGGCTTACGAGATTCCTACCATAAATTAAAGGATGAACATCCACTATGGGCCTTTAAAGTGAAAAAAAAAAATCCTATCAATACAGCTAGATCTCTAGTACTGTACATATTTTCCGAAAACAACTCTTACAGTTGCATATTTGAAATTCTATATTACACAGATTATTCGCAACAACATTTCACCGCAAATTGCTTTGAAGAGAATTCTGGGTATGGAAACACTTTTTTTTATGACCCGAATTAATTTTAATGAATAGCTTGAAAGCACACTATGTTATTATTAGTTTATTCAAATTTTAGCCATAACATTAAACATAGCAGGATCTATGAGACTGAACACCCATTTAATTTAATACACACAAAGTAAAAATCTTCAAAATTGATTTTTACACTATTTTACCTTCTAATAGTTTGATCAAATGTCGATCTTCGTCAATCTTTACATATAATTTAGGCTGCTGTTTAGTTGCAACTAACTAAAAACTACCCAACAAAGAACAGTTCTCCTGCATAAAGAATTAGCGTTCCAGACATCATATTCATTCGGTGCCAGAAATGGTTCCAAAATTAACAATATTCTAAATGTTTCTTGAATGTGCAATCAATGGAAAACACACTATTTATTTGCTTAGTCTTTCTAGGAGACCAAAGTATTTTGTTAAGTTATTGATGTTGCCCAGGATACTGATAAGAAAGTGGCCACCTGGTTGGATGTCTCCTTGGGAACCATGTTACTGCTAATTTGAATAAACACTTGCTGAGGTATGTTGATGAAACCTGTCCTTGAAAATCAACAATGATTTGTGTTGGATACATTGCATTGTTTGCTTGTACTTAACTCAAGGTAAGAGACAATTATTACTGGGTCAATGATGCTAATGATGATGATGATGTTGATGCTGATGATGATGATGTCTGCAATGCAATGATGACAATATGATGACAATGTGATAGTGATGATGACAATGATGATAATTAGCCAGTGACACTAATATGATGATCATGTCGATTTGATGTTATTACTATGATGGCAATTGGCTATGAAAATGATAATATCTAATATTAGGCCCTCTTTCAATTTTTGGGTTTTTTGACATACATAAAAATAACAAGCAATATCAATAGTAACTATAATAATTTTTTTTTGTATGATTATGATGATAAAAAAATAATGATTAAATGGACCTAGGCCTATATTTTGAAATGTGAATTTCGTTTAAATAAAATTGCAAAACATATTTTAATTGCTATATTGCCTGAAGAAAAATATCAATGCTAATAAATAAGAAATAGTTTCTCCTACTACAATCATACACCACTCACTAATATATTATTTACAAACAATTGCATATTCCACCTGTGTAGGTTTCTTTGTAGGTTATAACACAGTAAGAACCCAACAGGGTCAAAAAGTGAGTTTAAATATCCCCTAAGGATAAAAACACACACAAAATTAGCCTGTGTGCAACTTGTTAATTCTAATCTTTGAAGATTTTATCTCCAAAACAAACTGAAAAAAATATCTTAGGACCTACTTTATACTTACTCCACATAATGGACTGTACTATTCAAAGATTAAGTAGTACACATACATCAAACAGTACAGACACACACGTACAGTACATGCGCATATTCTAACACACAGACACCTGACATACATAAGCATACAAATGCACGCACATGCAAGCTTGACATCAAATGAATTACAGATAAATCACATTTTATAAAGGTAAAATAAATGCCTAGCTATATGTTATATAAGGTGTTTTTCATTTTTGTGGAACCATGAATTATAATTTATAATGTAATTTCCAACTTAAGTTTTAAACTATGTTGCACCATTGTCCATTGTGTTAACATTATTTTCTGACATACCCTAATCACAATGTTCACAATTCCTGAAAATGCTATATTAATAATGTTTTGTTGTTACTGGGAGTTCCGGTACATCAGTTATAATAAATTTACATTCAAATTTAGAGAAAAATTATATGATGCAAAATCATCATCCTTAACATTCAAATTTAGTAATTTTCAAATTTAAATTAAAAGTGAAACAAATGATAATAACCATCAATATTAAATATAACTATTATTATTATTATTATTATTATTAATGTGATAATTATAAGAAAAGGTTGGAAACAACTAAATGTAATGACAATAAAAATATTAAAACAAATATAGGCCTATTTCACTATGAAACTTGTATCAACAATAATGAAACTACAAATTATAATACTGAATGAAAGTTTGCTATGTAAATGTTACATAACAATGACTTAATTAATTTAACTTGGATTAAAGGGTACCACTACAATCGATTTTAATATATTGAAAATATTTGAACAAACAACAAATTATCCTTAAACACATAAATATATGTCATAAAAGTATTAATTCATTCACTCTTGATTTCATAGAATTTAAAATTTGCGCATAATAAACTAAAACTGATATACGGTTTTTCTATTGAAAGTTTGGCAAATGAAAATTATAATAAATGTAACACCAAATAATAGGCTATATAGTTACAAGTTATATAATATTAATTCCTATTTATTCTATGTGTAAGTTTGGCCATTAATTTATTATTTAGGCTGCTAATCTATTAAGTACTGGTATTTACTTATTGGTTAATTAATTCATTGAATTTATGTAGATTTATTTCATTTAGTTATGAAAATATTTACAGAATAATAATGGTTAGCATATAATAATAATTCTTTACATGGCCTATGCCTACTCTCGCGTCTGGGAATTTTTTTTTGACTTACCTTAACAAGGCTTTATTTGGAGGTGATTACAAAATTATGATGGAAGTGGAGACATAGTTGAATAGTATTGTCAAGGAAAACAGAAACTAAATTTCAAAAAGTTTTTACCACAAATGAGGTTTAACAAAGACATAACTGATTGAATAGAGTGACCTATATTGGAGAGTTTGGGAGAAGGGAGGAGAATCCCTGATTGACAGTTTCTGAAAAGCCGCTCTTTGCAATGCTCCATCTGCCTTGGGCCACTTAGGCTAGGATGAAGGGTTCTATTTGAAAACAGCTTAGGCAAAAATTGAAGAGTAATGGATAAACGAACAGACAGAAGTGAATAAGCACTTCAGTGTAAGATTTGCTTTAGCAGTGTTGACAGCAATATCCACATAGACTATTTTCTTGTGCATGTTGATGACTTTTAAGTGGTCAGGATAGATTAGGGTAATACAAAGTTTAAGCTGCATACTTACTAGGGACTCATTCCACAACACAATGTAATGTTGACTTAGTTAAAACGGATTGTAAGGCTCATTAGGAGACAAGTATCAGGATAATTGAAGAAAAAAACTATATGATTGGTCATGATTGTAACAGGAATAAAGAAGCCAAATTCTTTATTCATTTGAAATGAAGGGAACAAATAATAGAGTAGGTATTGTTTATTTTTTAATAAGTGTTTTCTTAATACAAATATTTTGTGACTCCTCTAAGTGAAAGGTTAACGAAGGTATATAAAGAAGAATGTACAAAAGAATGCAATTTGTTTGGTTGAAACCAATTCACCCAACAGGTGACATATTTTAACAAGTTTTAAATAATTCCAATAAAAGATTGTATTTAATGAGCGTCAATAGCAAAAAAGAAATATATTATGTTGGTCGTTTAATGTCTAATAACAGAATATAAATCGAGGTAAGGCTAGGCCTGTTGTCACTGTTAATAATTTCTGGCGCCTACTATATCTTTTCACCGATAGACCAATTGAAAAATGGAATGTAGAAAATTAATTCCTATTTTTTTCTTTTGCTAAAAAAAATCAAAGTTAGGTCTTATTTTGCAATTTTTAAAAATATTTAGGAATAAATAATTTCAGTTAAAGTAGATAGTTTATATTACTGCATATTTATAAATCTATATATCAAAATAAATTTTGGGGTTTTTTTTTTTATAGCAAATATGGAAGTACTGGAACTTTAACATTACCCTACTGAGTGCTTTTTAGAATTAAAAATTAAAATGATTTTGATGTCAATAATAACAATATTAGTATACTATAGCAAAAATAGATTTCTAAGCCAAAGCTACTAGAGGCAATTGAAGCCCAGAAGTAAAAATATTCATTCTTCATTCTATGATCAATGTTCAAAATAGATACCGACATTATGTATACTTAAGTCACTCAAAAAAGGTTAACATCAATTACAAATTTATTTGGAACACTGCTTTTAACAGTCAGCTAGTACTTTAGTCATTTTCGAGCAAGATTTACAATAAAATTGAAACAGCGGATCACTTAATTACCATCCAGTCTTTAATTAATGGACCAGGTTAAAGATATTCAGATTAAAATGATATCAGAAAGCTATCATAGGGGATCATAACAGTATAAAATTTATCATTTTGAAAAGTACCATTAACAGAAACATCTGTAGGCCACAAAGGTCTGTTCCAGCACAAAAGGTGATTACTTTATCATTAGCTTCACATTTTATTTTTTTCTTGTTCTGGAAAAGGGTAATTAAATTATCAGGAGATAAAAGGGAGATAATAGACTCATCAGAAACAAATGAAGGACAGAACAATATTAATAGTGGCACCATTACTATGGTATACAATTTCCTTCAGTTATCTATTATATCTTAATTATGACATTTCAAATGCTTTAGACAAGATATAATGAAAAGAATTGGTATCCTTGGTGGACTTTTTTTTTAAATAGTTTGCTACCATGATTTTGCCAATAATTGCTTGAAAAAAGATATGTTTTCAGCTGGCTTTTAAAAGCAACTAAGGATGTTATACTGCAAATGGAAGATGGTAGGAACACAAAGAAGTATTGAATGCAGGGTGATGATTGACATAAAGTGTGCCAGTTATTTAAAATCAAGTGTTGAGGAATGGAGGTGCATGCTGGCAGTTAAGATTATGCTCCAAATGTTGTGCTGCGGAAATGAAGGTATAGTCCCTCACAATCCTAAAGTTCTTGATTCCAAATCCTGCAAAATGCCAGGATCATAATACGAAATAGTTCAATTGTGTGATTGGTGAGTTAGGTTGATTGCAGAAAGACAACAAAAAAAATGTTGAAGTTATTAAATATGATTATCAAGACTACCTATTGTCATGTTTTATGTATTTGTATAAGTCATCTAAAAGTGACCTTAATACTTATCTATCCATCTTGTCATTAAATTAAGATCCTCTAATTCCAGAAAATGACCAAGAAAAACTATAAAACTGTACAATAGAAACGTGCATGATTATTTCACCTTAAACCATTGAAAATCAGGTTGGAATCTAATAAATACTACAATACTAAAAGCTAAATCTGCCAGAACCACTTAAGTGGAGGAGGACGGTGCTCAAGTGAACATAGACAGGACGATTGTAGGCCATTAGATAGAGTGCGTGACTATGCTAAGCTCCAGGCAATAATGCAGTAATTGTCGGCCAATCCCCTACCATCAACTTTACTACCAAAGCACTATTTAGAGGCTTAGGATTTTTTCTCAGTCATGTCTGATGTGGATTTTACTATTATATTTGAGGTTAGAAAATGAAAATGAATGCTGTAATGTTTTCATAGTTTGGTATTCTTTGTTTAGATCAGCATGTAAATAATTTCAGCATTGTATTTATTTTATAACAGGTAAAAAGTAAAAATTTTTTTTCATTCTAAATAATTTATGGGAAAATCACAATGTAATATATATTTAACTTTTATTTTTCTCTATAAAATTGTATGAAAAAAACTAATAATTAAAATATTAATATATAGCAAATATGTATTGCTTTATAGCATTACATTAGAAATTACAACAATTTAGAGTATTTAATAATATAAAGATACAAGCAACATTTATTAAATAATAAATATATATACAGCAAATTTGATAAAATAGCTTTTTCAAGGGGTCATCCAAGCTTCTTTAATTTTCATGAAAGTTTGGTCAACAATGTATTTCTTTTATGAAAATGAAAAATTATGACCTCAAAAAACAATTATTATTTTATTATTAAATACTCTATTGTAAAGAGAGAAACCACAAAAAATATGCTTTTTATACTCTTAAAAATGGTGAAAAAAAAGATGACCCATATAGTACCAAATCCTGATGAATTTTTTGTAATTTTAATTATGTTAATTTTAGCTAAAAATAGCACCATACAGGTAAACAACATGTCGCAGATATCAATGCTTATGTTTTTCATTCGTAGTAATTACTATTACCATGACATAGATACTCTTTAACAATAACACAATATCATCAGATTTTATTGTCAATTTCATCTGAAAAATAAGTCTACAAACGAAATGAACGTCAGTTTTATTTTTCCTTGAAGATCTGTGTCGCAAGTAAAATTAGATTCATCTTGGTTGTGAAAATATAGTCAATGACCACGTAGCAAACACTCTTGCCGTGAAGACTTTGTCCGTGGCCGCGCAATACTTCTGATCATTATGTATGTGCGGCTGTGACAGCATTAACACCGTCGGCCAATCCGGTTTACAGAATTATGATGTCAGGTTCTAACATCAATATGATGGCAAAAAATCAATCAAATATGTTAAATGAGTAAATATGACAGATAGTGGCGAGAATCTAGGTTAAGTAAAGCATGAGGGGATTGCACCTACTTGGTACTGTACAATCAAGAGACGGCTTAGATCACCTCTTGATATTAGAAATGTAATGTTCAGTCAAAAAACAGATAATATTAACCTACTGTCAATCAACCAATCAATCATTCAATCTAATAATCAATCAATCATTCAATAATTCAATCAATTATGTAACCCACTTAACAATAATATATTTACTAGTAGAAAATGTTTACAACCTAAATATTAAGAGCAGGTAAACATGCAACTCCAAGTAGCGGCAAGGAGTAAATTACAAGCTAGGCTTGTAATGCTCACAGTAGCTCTAACATTGACAAAGCAAATTAATACTCTTAATTATTGAAATGGAGTTTATTTTAATACAAATTATTCATGTATCTCAATTAATCAGAAGCGTTTCATATGAAGGTATAAACGGGAAAATTAAGTGTCCAGGTCAGTGTGGATCTATTGCTGGTGACTTGTGTTTTAAATGTAGGCATCAAATAATAATCTCTAATATTTTTTCTTTTTTTATTGTGCAACATTCTTTAATCATGTGTACTTTACATGTTTTACTACGTACTATTATTGAATTATTATTAAATAAACTAGAATATTTTATAGAATTTAAAAGTTCTATCTTGTTAACCAATTTATAATTTTTTAAGTAAAAAAAAATTGATTGTATTGAATGCTTTTTTCTTAACGTATAGATGTTAGTATATTTTATGATTTTTATTATTGTAGTTGTTTATGTATTTTAACTGTGATTTTGCCAATTTTTAATCTAATAAATGGACTGAAAATTAATAGGCCTACAAACAATTTGACTGATATTATGAATATAAAGTTGTGTTTTATCTTTTTATCTTAAATGATCAAGAATGTAGTATTGCTATAAAACCTCTTGTACATTGTTATTAGAGCAGCATATACTTGATAAGTGCTTGTGCTGCTCTCAAACACATTAACATGAAATCAAAACCAAGAGTTGAACCATTGCCACATCATACAGTAAGTTATCAAGGTGCCGAAACCATCTGATTATTTCAATTAAATTCTCATCTAGTCTATCAGACAGTGCTCGTGTTGCTTTAGCCAAAAACACACCATGTGATAAATCTTGGAATTTATGTTTCAAAGGCCTAATTCTAATTCAATACGTGCCAATCGATATCCAACATGAATTCATTGTGACAATATTGTGCACATGATACAAGAAAAAGCATTGTAGTCGACGTGATTTTACAAGTAATATTACACGTCTATTCGATCACTAGCACACTTGACAATCTCGGTCCCATTTTAAGAAATCAATTGCGAGAACTGTGCCTATCAAGTGGGACTATATGTCGCATTAACTCTTGACTTGAACTGCATCTATTGAAACAAAAGCAATGCAATATTACACTTAACACCTCTGTACACTGACACCGTTAGTGTATAGAGGCAGTGTTTTCCATTCAGACGAAAGTGGAAGGTGTATTAAATTACACCTAAGTCTTCTTGCATGAGAATGTATATAAAATCATGTGACGTCAATGGTTTTATGCACAATATGTTAGTATTGACAACAATCTATTTTTGAATAATAATCTAGGGAAAAAATAATTCATTTTAATTACTACTTCACATTCACAATAAGATATTTTTTAGTTGAGCACATAAACCACCCACAACCTAGTTACTGAAACTACCAAGGGAACCACCAAGTACTTACTACCAAGCACCTAAATTATTGATGTAATTTAACCACTGAAAAAACAACCTTAAGCTACCAGAGCCACCAAGCTACAAGTACCATCAAGTTACCCGAACCACCAAGCTACAACAACCACCAAGCTACCTTAACCACCAAGGAGCCTAAACAATGAAGAGTCAAACCTATATCAAACCACTAAGCACCTGAACCTTTAACCTACCTCTGCCACCAAGCATTCACCAATTTACCAAAACATTAACCAACAATAGACAGCACCCAAACCCAACCAATAAGTACCTCAACCACCAATCTGCCATTGGTAATAATATAAATCCAACATTTATGAAGTGCCAATATCATGCACTGAACTGAAGTAGAAATCAAAACTGTTACTCATTTGATGAGATAAGTATAAAGAATGAGAAAATGCTGAAAACACATATAATGTAGGCCCCGCCTACCATACAATTTGGCGTTTATTCACAAACTCATGCTTATTGGGATGTTATGACTGATGACAAAAATAGGGACACCATATCTTATGCAATGGTACTAGTGAATCCTTCTTGAGCCATTACCATGTAAGCCCACCAAAATACCACCATGCTATATGATCTGGCAAAGCCACATGAGCCACCCTACAATTGCCACCAAGGCTACCTAAACCACCAAAGTTATCTAAACCACAAAACCTACCTGAACCAAAAAACACTAAAGGCTACCTAAACCACCAAAGTTATCTAAACCACAAAAGCTACCTGAACCAAAAAACACTATCTGAATCACCAAAGCTACCTGAACCACCAAAGCTACCTAAATTACAAAAGCTACCTGAACCACAGCTATCGGAACCACCAAAGCTATCGGAACCACCAAAGCTATCGGAACCACCAAAGCTACCTGAACCACCAAAGCTACCTAAATTACAAAAGCTACCTGAACCACCAAAGCTATCGGAACCACCAAAGCTATCAGAACCACCAAAGCTATCTGAACTACCAAAGCTACCTTAATTACAAAAGCTACCTAAGCTATAACTGAACCACCAGAGCTGCCCACTGGATGTGTATCTCCCATGATATCAGATTTCTCAAACCTAATCATGTATTAGGTGAATGATTACATTACATTTGATATGTAAATATGCAATAGTACATGTGTTTGAATACAGTATATTACTTGGTATTTGCATAAGCTGTATATTGCCATTTTCCACCTGTTCCCATATCGTGTATATGATATCATTTGTCATTTTTTTTCAATCATAGTAATGAAATCTAATCTCTAACTTCTAAAAAATTATTGAAATTGATATTATAGAACTACATCTATTAATTAAAATTATACCAATGTGTGTAAGATGTATAATTCTGAATGTTGCTGTATCTAAAGTAAATCTCCAGAAAAAAAGACATTTATTTTCCCTTCCTTGCAGTGGAACAGTCCATTTTTTTCACTTTTGTAACATCAATTAGTTCAGCTAAGAACATCGACCTGGCTTGACCCCAACGATTGCCTGCACTTTGAGGGAAGCAAGCAAACCTTTTGTTTAGCACTTTGCTTTACAAATTTCACAAACAAAGTGTACGACCTTTTAATATAGGGGGCTGGAGCTAGCAATCAATGTTAGTAAATACACTGCCGCACGACAAAATGCTAAGGCGTCAAAATAAAGCCTCATGGATAGTACTATTGAACGAGTCTTCATATGCGTTTGTTACGGCCCAGTTTCTGCACTCCACAATGCACCATGATAAATGTACCATGACCCGTATATACGGAACAATATAGATTTTATACTTAGATATCTATATAATGAGTGACATAAGAATAACATGAAGGATTGCAACACTGATGATCATTTAATTTTACTGATACTATGTTTTGACTCATACATGTTGATAATTTGTTTAAACCACAATTTATTTTCTTTTATCACAATTTTATAATAACTATTATATTTTACATTAACAGTCATGATAGGCCTACATTCTAACTAAGGTATCCTATCTGAAATGTCACATGCACTAATTTAATGCATGTTTTTCAACAATAAAAAGTAACACATGGGATTTGAGAAGACAATTATGATGCCAATAATGATGGTGTTATTGACTATGATGATGATATGGTTGATGATTTTAATGATGATATTGATAAAGATGCTACATGTTTGATGATGATAATGAAGATGATAAAGATGATGGAGATGAAGATGGAGATGATAACAATGACGATGATGATGAAAGAATGATATTTATGATATGATTATGATGATGATGAACCACTGATACTGATGAAAGAATATGGTATGATTTATGATGATGATGAAACAATGATATGAAGTGATTGATTATGACAATGATGAAATAATCATGATGATAACAATAATAAAATGTTTAAAAATGATGGTAATGACATAGAGTTTACTTCCTGAAATACCTAAAGGCCATAATACATGAATGAGCATCACCACACGTAACATGTAAAACTTGCATGTAAATTAATAAAGCTATAGCCCAACTGGTGATGTAGGCCTAGCCCTCAATGAAAGGCCCAATCCACTGCTACTACAGTATCGTGAAAGTATTCTAAATGTTGTCTATGCCATGACAGTGACCTGATGAGAGAGCAAACTGAGGTTTATGGCATCTGCTGTTGACATAACACTCTTTAAGAACAAACATTAGACACATTAAGGTGCAAGTTTATGATAAAGTAGGAACCTGGGACAAGGCCAAGTCTCAGCTAAAAAGTCCTTGGTCTAAGTGATGTTAAATAAATCATTAATCAATTAGCACATTGCAGTATAACTATAAATTTTGGTTTCATTGGGAAAAAACTAATTTATAAAGTAATAGGCCAATTAATTATTATAAATACCAATTTAGTAATTCTAGAAATGTGACTTTCCTAATGTCTATATTTTAGCTATGAAGCTACAGAACAACTATTTTTATTAATTAATCAATTAATTAATTAATTAAAATGCATAAATAAAAAATAAAACTAGTGATTTTAAATAGAATGGTGCTATGATTATTATTATTTAGTGATATTTGTATTAATATCCTTGTTTATTTTTATAAGAACACATGCTATAAGAACACTGAGGTTGAAATTGCTTAAAAAATAAGAACAAAATAAGAACAAATTGAGGCTGAGGTAAAATGTCAAATGAAAATTATTAAATTTACTTTAAAAAAACCAACTAATCAAGTATTGATATTTAAAAAAGTTATATTATACCTAATACTATGCACTACAGTAATATACAGCTACAATAATAATTTTCTATCTTTTGTGAGATAAGAAAAAAGCAAGAATGTTTTGAGCCTGAAATTGGCCTAAAAAAAACACACTGAGCCTAACCAAAATTTTACTGGTTCTTATAAAAAAAAAGTGTATGAGGATTCTGGATAATAAATCGATATAAATATAAAAATACTTATGTATTTGCCCTCTTTCACTTACATTATATCAATAAGTGGAAAAATGCAAATTTGGAAGAGAACATCTTGATTTGTTCAACATCTATATATTTCTTTTATGAAAAATAATTATGAAAGAAAAAATTGTGAAAGGACAGAGGAATATATATGATCTTTTTTATATTCTTAAAAATTAATAGCATGTCAATTTTTAATTATTTTCATTACTACTATGTAATAAATGGTGTAAGGATATTTTTGATATAGAATTGTAAACTAAATGTTACTTATTTTTAAAAGATTTTTCTACATAAAGTATTACATTAGATATAGAATAAAAGATATTACTTACCAATTTTTGTCAAGAAAATCGAATAACCAATTTTTTTTTGTAATCAAATCCTTCAACTAAGATTTCAACCGGCAGTATTGATACATTAATCCGCAATAAATCAAATCAAATCAAATAAACCATTACAACAATAATTTAGATTCATCAATAATCTACCCAACAAAGTAATTAAAGTCGCTCACAAAACAATCGTATAACACTCGTCTTGTGTATAGTGGAAGTATCCATAACAGTATAACGTACAGTTGTAGGATAGGGTTTATGTAACAACTGGGCTCTCAATTCGCACAAGGATGCCTTGTATACAATCTAAAGTATACGAAGGAAACAGCTTTAATATCAATGTCTGTTTGCTCTCTGGAATCAAATTCTCTACCGCACTATTCACATTGCAATACTAGAAGTCACCATACAAAAAAAAAATGTATTTTACCTGGCAAGTACATTAATTATAGGGCTTAAAAAAAGCTTTCTTTCACACTTGTTTTTTAAACTTGCTTTTGTTTTTTCATATTTTAAATTGTAATAAGTGAATATTATATTCAGACCTTTTTCAACATAGGTCTACATTTTTTTATTTTCAAGGCCAAATTTTAGCATTTGCAATTTTTATATACGGAAATAAAGCTGTATAATTATAATTTTGATATTTGATCATTCTGTGGACAAACTATTTTCTTGTTTTCCGGGGTAGGGCATCTGTAATTATGTATAAATAAAACTAATGTATGGTAAGCTTTAAGAGCCTTGGTTACAAACATCTTGGTTCAATTCCTATACAAAGCTATGGTTCAGTATTTAAACTCAAAACAACCCTTCAAAAAAAACAGTTATTTAAAAGAAATTAGTTGAAATCCATAATAAAATTTTTATCTTATGAAAGACTGACATCTGGATAATGAATAATATAGTTAATAAAAGTATTTAATTATCACTACCATGAATAATAGTTAAACATTATTTTATTGTATTGATCTTATTCCATATGTTTTAATATTGAATTTTGAAATACGTGAAACTAGAAGATTTAATGATTGTGGAATTTAAAAAGCACAATATGCCTGGAGACACACTTAGATATTAAGATACACATTATGGACTACATGTTAAATGTCAAATTGTTAAAAAGCAATGTGTTTGATTCATTTTTATTATTACATTGTCAATTCTACTTGGCCATTTCTTGTACATGACATAAATATTTATCTTAATATTTTTTTCCAAAGTTGTAAAAGAGATTAGCTGTGTAGGACTGCAATAATCACATCTATTTACTAATGTTTATTCAATGCACTTTATCTGAACATGTAGCTCATAAAGGGAGGGAGCAATATCAAATAGGATAGGATTGATCATTTATGAATATTAAATTTAAAAGCATTTATATGTATTTTCATATTATAAAATATTCAAATTTTAGAGGTAGAGAGGTTAAAATACCTACATCTTTAAAATTCTAAAAACCAGTCATTCATTCACTATACTGTATATCATTGTACAGGGACGGTTTCCCTTTATTGGTTATACCATCCCATTGCAAATGGACAAAATTATTAATTATAGAGTAGTGCTAAATTAACTGACAAACACCATTTCTTACTGGCCTACCTCCTGCTTTTAAAATTCAAGATTCATCCTCATTTACTAACCCAGGCATCTACATTCCAATCTTATTCAATTTACAGAAATGTTACCTACCATATCCTCACCTATCCCCGTTTCCCCATTTTTATATATAATCACCATACCCACCGACTCCCTATACCAATCATATCCCCACACTATTATCACCTCAATACCCTTTCTTTGGCAAATGATGGCACACTAAATATTTAATAACTCTTTAATTATGACTTAAGAAAAAAATGCTTGTATATAAATGCAACCGGGCAGTTTCAAGTTACATGAATGAGCTATAATGTTTAGGGTCATGAACGTTCATAATGAATATTTGCATGCATAATACCATCTCAACATTTAATTTCTTTTTATAGAGTCGCTGCAAAAATTATGTGACCGAAAGGCAAAGCAAAGGGCACTAAGGATTGATGATTTTTAAAAACTTAATTGAAGAAGTAAGTCCTTGTTATATTTCTATATTTAATTGTTCAATTTTTAATCACATATAAAAAAAAAATGCAGATGCTAAAAACATCTTCGCTTGGAGCTTTGGAATATTAGCAAATAGCGACTTTATTAGAAATGAACACGACCCATTATAATAGAGGACACATTATTTTAAAATTCCCAATACCTCTTTCTTCGACCACTGTAATTTGTAAACTATAAGTTATATTCACTTTCCCCTTGTTAAATAAACAAATATGCAAATGTGATGTTGAAGTAGAGTTGTACAATTTTTAAGTTCAGGTTGAATTATTTACATCAAATAACAATGTACAGTAAATTAGACAAACCGTTTTATTAAATGGTGGATTTGGAAGGGAAGTTGATTTTAGTACTTAAGGCAATTATCTTAATTAATAAGGTGAAGAACATAACATTTTAATAAGATAATCTGAAGTTCACATAATTATATTTATGACAGTCTTTTCAACATGTCAGCTGCTGGTTTTAGGGTAGAATTTCTAGTGATCCTTAGTGGTATACACCAGCTGCAGTGTTTAATATTCTATACAGTCTTTAGATTATCCTTTCTCCTTAATTCCCTTACAATGGTTTTATAAATGCTTTTGAATGTAAGTAATAGCCTCAGTACATACCAGAAAAAACATTGAAATGTATTAAACTAAAAGAAAATTAATAGATTCAGAATTGCTAATATTAGAGGAATAGTGTTATTTATGGGATTAGTGTCCTAATACTGAGCATGTTATATTTTCTGTAGGAAGCAGTGAGGAGAAGGGGAGAAGTTTAATTTCAAATGGATGAAGAGTCTTTAGCCTACGACCTCTTCGGTGCATGTTATACAGTACTTCAAGTTGCAATCACACCATCCTGTGTCACGGTGTACAATACTTTATGGCCAAAGTACATGTTATGGTCAAATAAAATAATTGCTAGTTTCACACCCCTGCCCTTATCAATTTTTGGAGAGTCATGAAGAACTTTGCTATTTGCTATTTAAAAAAAAATCCATAGAAAATAGAAATTAATAATGATATGAAAGATTATTGTCATCAAAACCTAAGTTGAGGTGAAAACAATGGCAGAATACATTACAAAGCTTCATTTTACTTCTTTATAAACAGCAAATACCTTCACCAAAAAATAGTTTCAAATGCCAGATGTGAAACGAACACTTAGGCCTAAATATATTTGCCATAAAAAATGCTGAATATACACTCTTATTATTATTATTATTATTTATTTTTCAACAATATTTTAAGTGGGTAGCCCTTTCATTAAATTAGGCTCATAAAAAAATTATTAGTTTATCACCCCCTCCCTCATCACTTTAGGGGAAATTCTGATTTTTTTTTTTAATCAACATATATTTTTATTTCAAATGGTCGCTTTCCATCTTTTTTTCACATGAAAAGCTCAGGAATTCTTGCAAATATGTTTGCTGGTAGAACAAAAACATATTTTTTAAATATAAAATTGATTCCATTCTTATGACTTTTTATATGTGTCTCTAACCATTGATTTACTTGTTAACATCGGTAAAATGGGGGCGGGATTAGCAAAAAAAAAAAAAAAAAAAACCTCCCTCCCTCCCTCATTATTTTTTATTCTTTGATAGGGTGATAAACTAATAATTTTTTTTATGGGGTCTTTATAGGGGATGCTTCCTGGTACTGCCAAATACAAATACAAATACTCTTTAATGGCAATCTGTATATCACAAAAATAAAATACAAATTGAAGTGTAAAAAACTTGTCATTGCAACATTGTCTTTGGTGTTTTATAATAGAAACCTCATTGGATATAGAATCTGGGTACTGTACCTTATAAAGGGGAAGTGAAAGATTGGACAGAAATTACTGAAAGAAAAGTAGTGATAACATTAATAAAAGTACAGCGATATAAATATTAAGTAAAATACTGTAAAGACTGTTGTTATTCAACTAAACTGCCATAGAACATGCAATTACTCAGCTTAGACAAACAATCCAATTGACTTAAATATGAACAGCTTTTGCTTTACACCGCAATCAATTTTATAGACGTTATTTATATCTCTGAGATTTATGAGATGTACTTAATGGAATGACCAATATCTTAGGAATCATGATGAGACTTATCTTAATGAACAGGATAATACTTTTTTTTTATCTATTATTTCTTTTTTGTAATCTTCATTTAATGTTTTCAAATTAAGTTATGAAATATAAATAATCTTTTTGTTATAGACAACATTGTCTAGTAAATGGAAAAAAAGAACAATAAAAAATACAAGGACAAAAAAATTATAATTTTCCTATAAAAGAGATCATTTAGTTGGTTAGCATAACATTTGCAAACATAATGAAAAAATATACTGTATAACAAAAATTTATGGTTTCTTGGATATAGTACCATTCCTTATAATCTAAAGGTCTTGGTTCATATGCTAATGCAAGTTTTTTACCAGAGAGCACATACTGAACTACAGACAAGCATGCTTTTTCTTAAATTTTCTATCATCTGCTATTTAAATATCTGTAAAGGCCAGGCTAGTATGACTTCAGGGGTATTCGAACCAATGTCATCCAGAATAAACCAGTATAACCATACAAGTGGCATAACTATCTATATTCAAAAAATGATGACCTCTACATATTTCCCAGAATTCAGCTGCAAGAGTGTCATTAAAAGATATGACATAACCAAAGCTTTTCATCAGATATTAACGATAACTAGCTTGTTAATATTTTTTTACACATTTGTAAATTTTTAAATACCCATAATTAATATAGAAAGTATATAATAATTAAGTATACCTCATTTAGGCCCCTAATTGCATTATGAATATAATTTTAAAACTCATTTCTACAGCAAATGACTTTTATTACTGCTACAGTTTTAGTCATAATCTTTGATAAAATAGACATGGCTGAGACAAAGCAGATCGGATGACATCCGAGACAAAAGCCTACAGCAAATGAAACAGAGAGGGCTCACTTCAGTTTTACAGTAATACATTAAAGGGCAAGTGAGTGTATAGACCCTGCTATTCAAGCACAATCGATGATATAATCTCCAAGAATGCATTGATAAATACTATCTATAAAATAACTTGATTTATTGTAATTGTAGTAAAAAAAGGCTGGAGGCATACTGACAAAAAATATATGAGACAGAAAATGAAGGGAGGGGAAAGAGACAGAAGATGACAAGGATGGTGAAATGTCACATGTCCTCCCGGCAGACCATGATATTCAATATCACAAAGAACCTACTAAATCCTAAATGTCACAGAGAATAAGAACAGGTTGAGTAAATAATGAACTCTACAGGAATTGATTTTTTTTTTGCCTTATACATTGAGTTTTCTATCTTATGTTTTATTATTCACTTGATCTTGAAAATGTGCCTATGATGGGCTCGAAAATTCGATCCTTTTTGTCAATTAAATTTTGTGTTGTTAATATATAGTAAACGTATGTTGATTTGTAATTTAAATACCGAAATTGCAATAAATGTTAAGTAAATCTGAATTATAACCTTTCTATCATAAATTATGAAAACAGCTCAAAGCAGAAAATGCCATTAATTTCTTTTTGGACATGGGGTTGAAGAATCAACATAAGTTTTATCGACTTAATTATGGATCTTATAAAGGTGTTCTAGGGCCAGGGATGGTTCTACTATTACCAGACTTCATGTTGTTGACCTCGTTAAGATATTTTGAAGCTTTCAATTCCACAGCGACGGTAGCACCTACAACGCAATGACATCACTAAGAAGTCATCTGCGCATGCGAGACTGTTGAGTTCTCCTTGTCACCTTGATTCTAGACTAATTTCTAGGACACAATTTTGCAGAGAATGTACACTAAGACAGTCGTGAATAAGTGAATCCGTCCTAGCGTCACATTGTTGTGCAAATCAAAAGCTCCCTAATTTTCAACAATGTCAACAACATGATGTCTGGTAATAATAGAACCATCCTTTAGTACACCTATTTATAAGATATTAAGTAATGAAGTTGTTAAATCTTATGTTGATTTTTCAACCCCATAGGGTGCTGATCAACTTCAGAAATGTACCTATAGGCCCATAACAAAAATAGGTATCTTCTCTATCCATAAGCCAATAAACAAAAACCTGCATCTTTACTGTTTACCAGTGACAGGTTCAAGGAGCTGAGTTGTGCTCTATATTTTTGATTTAAAAAAATGTGCAATAGCCAAAAAGCCCACTGCATCCTTAAAGTTTGTCCTTCGTTGGACCCCTTGTATTTCTAATTCTTGGATCCACCACTGTTCACATTGTGCAAATGTATAATATGCCTTGTGCAAAAAACTATTATCTGGACTAGTGCATTTGAAATGGGTATCTTGACTAACACATTTTTTTTTTTGGTTCTTAGAGAAAATAGTAAATTTTTATTATAAATATTGAATTTAAATGCAAATATTCCAGATACAGTAAAAAAAAGTCAGAGTGCTAAAACCAATACTGCATAGTATAATACATTTTTAATTATTGTTTTTAAACGTAATAATTAGCACGTTGACATAAATAAGTTTAACTGGGTTAGTAAATAATATTGGCCTCAAAATATTGTGGCTGAGACATGGGCCGATTAAACGAAGAAATAGGAAACCTAAAAATTTAGTAAAAATGCTGAATAGTAATACTCGAACGTCGCGACATGCGGACGTTGGTACGTGTAGGTTAGTCTACAAACGTCGCCTAAAGTAATTGATTTTACCCGGCAAAACGAAAGAAGGAAACTCCACTTTTCAGTCGTCTTAGGCCTTTGTTTTTTGACAAACAATGACCTTTCAGAGGTCAAATTGCTGTCAAGAATATGAATTGGCTGCTTCTCAACAAAAAAAATATTGAAGCTAAAAAAAAACTGACTACAGAACAAGGTGCAAAATGCATTCTACCATAAATTAGCATATATAAAAACAAGGCAACATTTTCCAAAAGCAAGACCAAATTTATTAGCCGATAATATAGTGCTTTTCCTTAGACACGAATAATATAAATCATGATCCTTGTATGCCTATATTTGTTCCTTCAGGAAATGCATTCAGGTAAGTCAATGAGACAATAACATATTTATTAAATGTCAAATAATATGAAACAAAATCACCATATTTTTTAGACAATGTTATAATTTTAATATAATTTTTTTAAAGAAATACTTACGTATGCAGCGATATAGTTGATCCACCAGTCAAATTCAAAACACAGACATATCAAAGTTTATGACCTCAATATTACCTGAGCAGGTTCAATTTCTTTATAGTTTCAAATGTCTCAAGTTTTTCATTCCAAAATAAAATGTCAAATTTTATCTATCAACTGGAATCATACAAAATCAATGTGAACTGATAGAGTACAGTACACATTCGATTGAGGGACTCACTTAGTAATTCACCGTAAACTCAGAATGGCTAATCAGAATTCAGTATCCTGAACTGATGCCAGCGATTGGATGTATCATTTAAAATTATCACATCCTCTATTTGTACCTTGTCTACTTGTTGTTTTGTTTCCCTTTTTTAAGTGTTTATCCTGAGTGTCAAATCATACTATAAGACATTTTTAAATGTCTCAAATCATTTATTCTTTGTCGTTTATTCCTGGTGGTAGTAGAGGGCTCCAAGGCTCTTCTCTGAAACACTCTAAGATTTACGCCACTAACCAATTTATTCCATAAATAATTTAGTAATTCAATTACTGTATTTCAACAGTCTGATATTCATTCATTATAGTAACTTATTCATTCATTTATTCATCCATAAATTCATTCATTTATTTATTCATTTGATAATCTATTCAACCATTTATTCATTTAGTTTCATTCTTTCATTCATTCCTTCTCCTCTGGCATTCATTTAATAATTAAATAATTCATTCTGTTACGTATTTATGTATTCAGATATCCATTCATTCCAGTCCTGCATTCACTAATTTAATTTTAATTTCACCCCCACCTTCATTAATCCATTATTTACCTGAAGTACCATAAAAAAAATATATTCAATAAATTATTCATCAATTTTAATCTGTGATAAATTTATTCACTTTCTTATTCATTCAACTTTGATTCATTTATTCACTTTTCAAATCATAAAACCATTTCTGTAATGCGCCAGATACAAATGTACATCATTTACCCTATTAGGCCTACCTACAATGAGGGCAGCATTATGATCAAAATGAATACAAATTTTCTTATAGTTCATGAGTAGTCTCTTAAGACTAACACTACCTTCCTCCAGGGTCTTATTCAGAAAGCTAGCCTCAGATTTGATTAACCCATGAAGCTACATTTAAATTATAGTTCCCATATATTTAACCCTATAGTCCCATACCTCTTTTGGCAACCACTACAACCACCTAATTGACAAATTTCAAACCTATTATTATACTGGTGAAGATCCATAATGTTAAATGATTATTGTTAAAGTAAACATTTGCGGTGTCTGTAAGCTTTTCGTTTTTCCTGTTTGCGGACATCTGGAGCTCATTGAACAGCAGCAAAAGGAAGCTATTCAAAAATTGATTACTCCTCACGAAATGTTTACTTCCATTTCATTGTGCTTATAAGTTCAAAGTCAATTCATCATATCTCAAAAGTACAAAGACAATAATAATTTTTATGTTAACTGAATTTAAACTATTTTACAATTACTACAATTATTCAAAATATTTTTCAATTATTTATTATTTAAAATTTAAGACACTGCCTGTGTTAATCTATACAACAAGGAGAAGAAAATCAACATTTTAATTGCTTTACTCTGTATTTTTAAGTAGTTCAATTATATAAACGGTATCTTTATTTTGAAAATATCAAACATATATAAAATACATAGTTCAATAGCAGCTGAAGCTGAATTTCAGGAATGATTTTAGAAAGCTCACATTACAAAAGAATTACAACACCACTTTTCACAAGAAAAAATAAATCATTACAGTTAAAGAAAAACATTAAAACAGCAAAATTCAAAAACATGTCATATAAAGTATTCAACTGAATATGGAATGAAAAGAAATTCTTAATAATTAACAGACAAATGCTGAATTGCAGGAATAATTTTAAAAAGCTCACATTAAAAAAAGAATTAAAACACCACTTTACACAAGAAAAAAAATACATTCAAAGAAAAACATATTTTTACTTCTGTATTTTGTATTTGCTTGTTAATGTAAGGACCCCCAACTGAAATAAGGTTTCTTTTTTACCTTTCTTAGTATCATGTAATTGTCTTCCCTGTTATTGTTTGCTTTGTATCTTTTGTATATAATGGTACTGAATAAATAAATCATTCAATCAAAATAGCATAATGGCCACTAATAATATGCTGTTTTGACTGTATCATACCAACATTTTCACTATATTGATTGGCATGTTTACAACACCCATTCGCTCTATATGCCACAATGGTTGCAAAGGTGTATTACATAAGATACACATATGCACAGTAATTCAACCAATCAAAAGGAACATTTATGTGTCTAATATTTTCAATAAACTCTACACATGAAGAGACTACCACCGAGTGCAGAGCCACCTGTTGTAAATACCATTCACATTATTAATACTAAAATACCTGGGCCAGCAGAGGCAAGGTTTGATTGATGTACGGTTGAAGTCTACTGCTGGGAATAGGTAACAGACTTGTTTTCTTTGCAGCTTCTCTCAACACTAGGTACCTTGATTACCTTGATTTAAGCATAGAGGGCTTGTTGTAGGTACATGATTTAAAAAGAATGACAAGCTGGCTTTCCGTATCATTGAATTAATATGAAAAGGTCTGTCTTTTAGATTGTTCTACAGTATGCAAGGATCATTTCTCAGGTTATCAGAGGAGAGGTCTTTAGATTGAAAAAATAAATACCCATAAAAGAACAATACAACAGACCAGACCAGTTATAAATTAATCAATGTTTTGGAGACCCCACTTAAAGTAAACAAAAGATTGCTGCCTATTGATATTAGGCCTATAGGTAATATGTCAATATTTGGTGACGAAATGAAACTGATACCAATGATAATTATTAAGATGATGCTGACTATCAATGATGATTATAATAAATAATAATATATCATTTATTATGATAGTGTTATTCAGTTAGCAGCATAGCTTTGTGATGACTGAACTGGTGGTAGGCATGGTGTACAGCTGAACTGTGAATAGCATTTCAGATAATTTGGTTCCTCATTAAATTCCATCGCTGTCCCCCTTCTGTTTCAGCTCGAGGGCTGAAATACAAGTTAGTGTATAGTGCATCATTTTCAAAAGAGCAGTTTAAGTCACTAGTCCCATGGGCATGTGAAAGAATGCTGATACTTTTCTTAAAAAGCAAAGAAATTGTCTTCTGGTGCACTGCCAAATTCACTATAGAAGAACAAACTGAAAACAAGTGTTTGGACCATGGGGGATATTTATGGTATGTTACACTGAAGTTGCCAACCATTATGTTCCCAGTGAATTTATATAATTATGATAATGTTAATGATGATAATTATTTATTATGTTTAAATGTTTTTTGAAGTGATGACACTGATGCAGCTGACAATGATGGTTATCTCAGTTGATGAGATGATAATCAGGGGCGGCTCTAGGATATAATTTATGGGAGGGGGGGGGCTAAGTATTTATGGGTGTAACTATAGTGCGCAGCGTTATGAGGGCCGAAGGCCAGAGCCGGGGATGGGTATGTGAGGCGGGTGTCTCCTCCTCCCAAAACGAGATTTTTTTTAAAATTGGGACTTCTAGATGTTCTGTTTGACTGATCAGACCCAGACAAAGCGATTGCTGAGACAGACTTGGCTTGGCGTAGACAGTACAGTACTGGGATGGGAAAACTAGGCTTTTTTTTTTTGTCCTACTGCCCGACGAGCTTTGGCTGATGTGGGGACTTGATTAGACTGATGGGGGCTTAAGCCCCCCTGCCCCTTCTGGTGCAGCTCCTAATGATGATGACAACTACAATAGTGATGACTGATTGTGAATGTGGTCAATAATATAATGAGATGATGATGATGATGATAATGATGATGATGGTGATGAAAATGATTATAATGATGATATTAATGATAACGATGATGGTTACGATGATGATGATGAATAATGATTGTAATGATGATGGTAATAATAACGATGACAGTGATGATGATAGTGATGATGTTGATAATTATGCATGTTTGCCAAGTGGACGAAGAATGATTGCATTAATTTCGCAAGATATTGCATTAGAAGCAAGTCTATACATCTTCAAGTACCTTCTTCATGTCTGGTAGACATCATTTATTACAATTTGAACAACATTGGAACAGATTAGAACTGGTTTGTCCACCTCTAGCGCAGCTGGAAATAATACTTCTATGGCTCCAGCAAACTAAATGATGGATCATTAGGAAGTTCCTTGCCACTACAACAAGTTACAATATTGCTTCTAATTCCTTCCTGTAATCAAACTTAAGTGTTTCCTGCCACCGGACTCCTTAGAAACTTCAGGAATTAAGCAATTTTTAATGGTAAAAAATCCGGAAATATCAACCTCAATATTTCCAAAACATTATAATAAAATATGATTTTTAAAAATCTTTTAGAATCTCATAAAAATGATTAGTAGAATGATATTTTGATTCTATCGCCGAAGGAATACAACAGGAACAATGATATAAACTCTAATACAGAAGCTAAAGTTTGTAGGTTTTTATATACTGAAAGAAAACAATATGTAATAACAATAATACTGGTAGTTATATTTAAAGCTTGTAAAGTTAAATGAGTAGAAACAATACCAACGTAAATGGTAAATATATAATTAAATATTTATTGTATACATAACCATGTGTTGGTTCTATCAATTAGATGAACTACCCCCTCTATTGTTAGATAAAGTTGTATTGAAAAGAATCTCATGAGATTAGAAGTGAAACTGATGTTTTGGCATGCATCTCATAGAGGATAATACATAAATGTCATCGAACATACCATTTATGCAATAAATTTTGGTGCCATAGAAGTATCGACAATTGATTGATATGCTTGAATACTAATTAATGAATACAGATTACCTCCGAAGACAACTAACAAACCAACAGATGACCAATGGCGATGAATACAGTAAGCTCAGAGACGGAGTTAATAAACTGTTAAAAATGATAAACTTACCGGTACTTGGTTATATGGCTGCTTTGTGTGGTTGCTAATGTCGTTTGGACTGAGCATTATGCTTCTTTCTTCATTCATTGCGACATGTGTTACCATTCCAGTTCAGTGTACTCAGCATCTATAAATAGATGCTTTCCCAGTAAATTTTTATGTTGTCCACACACAAACCTTCATGTGACTGCAATGTAGATCCCGATGACAGCGTCAATTGATGAGTTTATTATAAATTATAAGACTAAAGGAGATTGTTCGCATAACACATCTCTTAAGTACAGTATGCTCCCCTCTACAAATTATGCTAACTTTTGCTACAGGTGTCAGTGTGATGGTATCCAGGTGATAGAGATAATCCTATTGTCTCTTTGTATTCAGAACATTTTTCTAACATTTGTTCCCTTTTTCTTCTCTTAATGGTCATAGATTTCCTTCCATAAATCAGGAGATACTAAAGATTGTTGCACCTAGTTTCATCTTGCCTAAAACATGATAGAAAATAATACAAATTATTATTATACAGTAAAAATCAAATATTAATCAATGAATAACCAATTACACCCTATCAGTCAATAATAAATTAAATAACGGTATTAATAATCAATAAACACATAATCTATCATTCAATTGACTAATATTTAATCAGTCAATTTACAACCAACTAAACTGAAATAGCATCAAAGACAGCAACAAATTATTAGGCCCCATAAAAAAAATTATTAGTTTATCACCCGCTCCCTCATCACTTTTGGGGAAAATCTGATTTATTTTATTTTTGTTTTTTTTCCAATCAACATGTATTTTCATTTCAAATGGTCTTTTTTCCATCTTTTGTCACTTGAAAAGCTCAGGATTTCTTGAAATTATGTTTACTGGTACAACAAAAACATATTTTTTAAATATAAATTTGATTCCATTCTTATGACTTTTTATATATGTGTCTCTAACCATTGATTTACTTGTGATCATCGGTAAAATGGGGGCGGGGTTAGCAAAAAAAAACCAAAAAAACCTCCCGCCCTCATCAGATTTTATTCTTTGATAGGGTGCTAAACTAATAAATTTTTTTATGGGGCCTTAGTCAAGCGAGACTTTTTTTATACCTTGTTTAGTGAACCCACCACCTGCCAATATGATTTTCAATAAAAACACCATTTTATTTTTGGCCAAGTAGCGTACCCACCGTCATGAAAAACTGAAAATTTTAGAGAAAAATGAAAGTTTTTCATAATTTTTATAATGCCCACTGCTGCCATGAAATCTCCAAAAATAATATATGTATTTCCTCCTAATTATGTAAATTTAAAGCATTTACCATTATTTATTATTATTTACCCATACCTTTACTACACTGTTTACATCCACAAATTAAAATTTTAAAATATCTATTTTTTTTCTCCTCCATCTGGATGTTTTTTGGCAAAACATTTGCTAAATAAAAAAATAAAATCTTATTTTCATTTTTTTCCCCGCCCTCCTCTGATGATCTTGAAATAAAAAGTTTGCGAAATAAGAAAAAAAAAGTTTTGCCTCAATAACAGATGATCAAATCAACTTAAAATCATTATAATTACAGTAAATAAAAATTAATAAATTTGTATTTACAATCAATAATTAATATGTAAGATAAGTCGATCGTGACTTATCAGGCAATACCATTCACTAAAAGTAGACAAGACAAGATATTATATGGATACAATACTATAATACAAAATCAATTCGCATTGGTTAACCGAAATATCTGTTTAACAATTCAAATTCATGCTTTTGCAGCCACTGGTAGTCTGTATTGGTAAATGATGATTGATTGGTTGATTGATTCCAAATTCAAAAAAGAAACATGGTTTATATGGAATGAGTTAAAGAAAACTTTGACTACATTACCTAGAGTTATTCGGGTTTCAAATGAACAAATACATTTAACTTGTTTTCATTTGATTTGTTTTGGAAAGTACTATACTGTATAAGCATATTGTCCAAAGTACTGTAAACAATCTACTGAATTTGTCCTATACTCAACACTCTCTGATTCAAGAAAAGATACCGGTAATAAAAAAATATATGTATATTCACTATTATTGGGAGCTTGAAATAGCAAAAGCTTGTTATGTTCTCAACTGTCATATTCATCTCACGGCAAATGCCCCGGGGCCTGATGCATTATGGATGAAATCAAGGGTTTGATCGTCAAAAGGGAACGTACACAGCATGAGACCTAGGTATGACGCCCTGAGTCAGAATTGAATAATCACTGGAAGTCAAGAGAGGTGAGATGGTATTATCTCTCAAAGAAGACAATAAGTGTACTGCTCACCACAGTTTGATGGTATCCTGCTGCTTGTAACGTCAATGTTTCGTACAGTTCAACTCTGGTAACCTGTAATCTTGGGAGGCACATAGTGATTTCGTTTTTTCCAACTCAAAACTACTGGAGAAAAACTCTTGGAATGTCTTGAAGAAAAATTGCCTGGAAGTACTATATACAGTACATATTTTCAAACTAGACTAGCTCACCTTAGTACCTATAGGCTATATAAGTTTGTGACCCTTGGTCTTGTTAGAGCCTGTTTATTTTTACTGGGATTTATAAGAAACTTGACAAGTTCAAAAGATATAGTTTGCATAAGGAGGTAGAGGTAGATCAAGTGTGAGGAAAGAGGGAAAAAGGGAAGAAGTTAATGATGGAATATCCAATGGAATACCACACAACAATCAGTCACAGTATTGACTATTTTCTGTTACATTATTTTTCCATTTATGGCAACAAAGAGCTCAATCACTCTTATTATATCGCCTAGGGTGACCTTACAGTAACTAAAGCCGATTCAAACCATTCGTGTTAGTATTTCAAGTCGGCTCGGGGTCGCACTGTGAATGTCCATACTTCTTCCTTTGCACCAGGTTTTTGTGTTAAATGTTATGGTATAAGATGTCAAAATTGACCGCTATCAAGATGACCTTGGCGACTCAGATTTGGTTTATGTTCAGATACGAAGATGAGTTATCCCATGTCTCGCATTGCGGGACCCGATCAGAACTTAAAGTCTGACTAAATTTAAGTTGCCTTTGAGCCAGCTTAAAATTTATTGATTGTTCACACTGAGGCAGTCCTGAGTTGATGTAACTATTAAGTGTGAATGGGCTCTAATATAATGCTTTTGTTTTTTAGCAAGTTACCCATCTTGCCCTATATTGAAATAACACCAATGGCACTAACACCAGAGTGACGACAATAATAATAAAAACAACAATCTTTATGAGGGTCGTACTGTAACTACTATACTATGCAGAATAATGACATGATCAATGTTGTTTGAAGATGACCTTGAGTGTAGTTGACATGAAGTTGAAATTTACTTTTTGAACTGAACGACAAGATACATTTGCTGGAAGGTTGTCGGTACTGAAATATATGTTTGTACCATTTATTGAGTGAATAATTGCTTGTGTAGATTCTAATGACTTATAGCTTAGTTTCAAATCTTCTTCAAATCACCTATAGGTTTTTTGTCTTTGGTTATAGTATCAATTTTCCTTTCCTTATTAGCAGTCATTATTGACTTTTCTCTTCCATTTTCAGTCCTCACCTTTTAACCTATAATATCATTTTCTTTTTATTTTTTTTCCAATTAATATTGGCTTTTTTCTACCATCTTCACTTCTCATCTGTTCATGTAATCTATATTATACTTTTATCTCTTTCCATTATTATTATTTCCATATTATTATGATATACTATACCAGTAAAAATCATTAAATTTTGAAGTACAATGCTACATATTCTGTGCCTTGGGCAAAATAAAATAAAGAGACAAACATCATCCATAAGGAAAAATACAAAATACATATGGCTATTTAAATAATGATAAATGAGCAATTCCCAATGATCTGAAGTTCCTATTCTACATAATTTCAATTTTTCTTTATTGCAATTTTTAAAAACTTACTTTGATGTAAAACCTGGACCGTGTGGACCAATGATATTTTTTTTTTATGCAAAAAATAGGCAGACTCAGACTCCAATTATGGGGACTTTGAATTTGAGTAGCTGCTTTTGGTACACTGAATCTCAGATTTTGGAGTATTTGTGTATAATAAACACTAAATGCAGAAACCCCAAAATCGGATTACTGCATATACTGTAGTATGCAGACCAGTGGCGGATCCAGGGGTTCAGGGGGTTCGGACAAACCCCTCTCTGTAAAGAAACTTAACAAAATACTACTGGGTCCTGGCTTACAAAATGCATGCTTACCTACCTAGGCATAGGTTGGCATTGGACAAACACAGGCTTAGTCCAACTAGAAATTTCAATTAAATAAAATTAAAAACACAGTTTTTGGTTCAACGTCGTAGTAATTTATGTACGAAACTGCGTTTCTTCATGCCTATAGGCTGATCAATCCATGGAAGAAAGACTATGTATCCAACTACTCAATATTGTTGGAATATTGCCTATGTCTTTGATTTTCTTTTTCTCTATGTATAGGCCTAAGTAAGAAGATAAAATCACCTGACCTTTTTCAAGAGGAAAACCTTGAAAGCTCATTTCCGGCCATCTAGGAATCAAAGTTTCCCGGGGGAGGCTAACCCCCTTTCCATTTGGGTTTTTTGGAAACATTTTGAACCCAACTCTTTCAAATCCTGGATCCACACCTGCAAACTCTCCGAGAAATTATATTATTTATACATACCTCAATATCCGGTACTCACATTTAAATTTTACCCAATACTGTAGCAGGTGTATTTATTGGGAAAATATATTATAAAAATTATAGCCCAGAGTTTGGAAAATTCATTGTGGAAATTTGAGATTATTCTGGACTGTAACTAGCAATCAGTAACTAGGCCTGCTATTGTCTTACACCACAGGCCTACATTTCTATCAACAAACAATATCCTGGTATCCAAAGTTCAATTATTAATGAAATCACCAACTTTACTAAACACTTAATTTCCAGTAATTGTTACAAACATCAGAAAAATATGTATATTTGTCCTTTATATTTCTTTAATCTGTAAGCCTATTCATTCAAGAGTAAACTGTTCTTCCAAGATGTAATATCAGATACAAAACTAGTTGCATCGTATAGTGGGCCAACCTATTACCTCCAAATGCTCGCGCTTCCTGGCTAATCCTGCTAGTCTGAACGCCCGGCAAAGTTAAGCCGGGCTTAACATTGAGCCGGGCCAAAGATACTAGAAATACAAGATAGAGTTCTCCACACAAAAAAAGTGTTCCACCGTGTTCCACCGAAATGCATGGTGGGAATACGAAAAATGGGACGCCCCCTACAGCTTGATCAAAAAAACTTGTGCCAAACTTTCGTTACCAAGTCGTCGCGTATTTTATTATCAATTCTCAAACAAACTGGAATAGACACCAGACAGTAACATCGGTGAATCCATAACCTCCTTGGTGGCGGTAGAAATCGTTGCTATTATCCAAATAATACACAAAACAATTAAAGCATAATCATGA